ATGCCAATCGTGGTCGCAGTCGTAGAGGAAGAGGTCGCCAACAGTCAGTCAATCCTGGTTCCTCCAGACAAGGATCCAAATCTTCACTCACCTGTCAGATTTGCACTAAAAGAGGTCACTCCGCGGATGTCTGTTGGCACAGACATAATCCAAATTACATCACACCTTCGTCTCAGCCCACCAACAACAACAACGGACAAGCGCTTCTTGCGGCCTCTGATCAAGCATCAACTGAATGGTATCTAGATTCCGGCGCTTCGTCTCACATGACACACGCACCCGAAAACCTGGTTCAATCCTCGCACTATCAAGGATCTGATCACGTCTTGGTTGGGGACGGAAGATCCATTCCCATTGCTCATTCTGGCACGGGAATTCTTCCTACCTCTGAGCGTAAGCTTCGGCTCTCCAAACTTCTTCATCTACCCAATATTTCTCATAATCTTATTTCAATCTCTAATCTTGTTAATGATGACTACATCTCCATTCTCTTTGATCCTAACGGTTTTCTTGTTAAGGATTTACAGACTCACAAAACCCTTCTTCAAGGACCATGTAAGGCTGGACTCTATCCCATCTCGATCAAGAAATCCAATGCTGTTCAGAAGGCTCTCTCCACTGAAAAATTATTAGGTGCGGAGTGCAGACGGGGTGAGAACCGTCTGCACAGACACAGAGTACCGAGCGGTACCCAGCGGTACCAAGTGGTACCGAACGGTACCGAACACTATTTTATACTAGTGTGCAGACGGTTCTCCCGTCCGCACTCCGTACCTAATAATTTCTCCTCTCCACTACCTACAAGACGAAGTTCAACTGGCATGATCGTCTCGGGCATCCTCACAAACGCATTCTTGATACTATTTCTCACGCTTACCCTTCTCTCTGTATTTCTAATATGAACATTGATTGTACTTCTTGTAAGGCGTGTAAAAGCCACAAACTTGAGTTCTCTAATTCTGTAAATCGCAAATGAACTCCTCTTGCTTTACTTCATTCAGATGTCTGGGGCCCCTCGCCAGTTCCGTCTAAACAGGGTTTTCGCTATTATTTGCTTATCTTGGATGATTACTCACGATACGTTTGGATTTTTCCATTTATTTTTAAATCAGATGTTACACAAATTTTTATAAACTTCATCACATTTATTGAAAAACAGATCGCTTATCAGGTTCAAGCAGTTCGGACAGATGGAGGCACCGAATTTGTAAATCATCAATTTCAACATTTCCTTCAAACAAAAGGAATCCAGCATCAACTATCTTGTCCCTACACGCCGGAGCAAAATGGCGCGGCCGAGCGCAAACATCGCCACGTTATTGAAACAGCCAGAACTCTTCTCCACACGGCGTCTATTCCTCCATCTTATTGGCCCGACGCTGTGCTTACATCGACTCATCTAATAAATCGGATGCCTACGCCTACCACCAGTAACATTCCTCCCATTCAGCTCATGTTTAATACCGCTCCCGATTACACCTCGCTTCGCACCTTCGGCTGCGAATGTTTCCCGCTTCTTCCTCATCACTCTAGACACAAACTGCAACCAAGCGCTACCTCATGTGTCTTCCTGGGATACAACAACAACTACAAAGATTTCAAGTGTCTTGACCGAAAAACCAATCGTGTCATCATATCTCGTCACGTCCAATTTCTTGAAACTTCATTCCCCTTCTCGGTCAAAGATAATAACACATCTCCACCAGCTTCGCAAGCTCTACCTCCCTCTTTTCTAATCCCGTCATCTACTTTGCATCAAAACAGATACCATCAGACCAAACCAACCGTCACACCATCACTGCAACACTCTCAACATCCTGAATTGTCCCCTAGCAACTCTCCTGTATCTCTAAGTTCTCCATCTATCATGTCCAGACACGCTTCTATACCAATTAATTCACCTCGAAGGCATCCTATGGTAACCCGTGCTAAAACCGGTTCTTTAAAGCTCATTCAGAGAATGAATTTGTTCAATCAAACGGCCTCCCACTTTGATCCCACCAGCTACACAGAGGCAAACAAATTACCTGAATGGCGCAATGCAATGGCAGCTGAGTTTCTTGCACTTCAAAAACAGGATACATGGCAGCTTGTTCCAGCCCCACGCAATGCTCCGGTTCTAGGATGTAAATGGACGTTCCGCACCAAACTACACTCCGATGGCAAAATAGCATGATTCAAAGCTCATCTTGTCGCACAGGGCAACCAGCAGGAATATGGCATTGATTATGGAGAAACCTTCAGCCCGGTAGCAAAACTACCGACTATCCGTGTGCTGTTCGCAGTGGCTCTTTACCATGGCTGGAAGATCCACCAATTGGATGTTGAGAACGCGTTCTTACACGGCAAAATACAGGAAACTGTCTACATGAAGCAGCCAAAAGGATTTGAGGATGCAGCAAATCCGAATCACGTCTGTCTTCTACGCAAAGCCATCTACGGCCTCAAACAAGCGCCAAGGCAATGGTACAACACGTTCTGCAGTCACCTTTTGACGCTCGGATTCACACCAAGCACGACAGATTCCTCTCTTCTCACATTCCGGCAAGATCATATCACAATGTTCCTACTCGTCTACGTGGATGACATCTTACTCACGGGCAATGACGAATCTGCCATTCTTTGGTTCTTACAGCAACTCAACTCAGTTTTTGCTCTCAAGCACCTGGGCAATGCAAATCATTTTCTCGGCATCAGGATCCAACATCGCAAAGATAAGTATTTCTTATCTCAAGAATCTTATGCTACATCTATCATACATCAAGCTCATCTTAGTGAATGCAACTCTGTTGCTAACCCATCCTGCACTAAACTTCCCATAGATTTCAAAATGGATCCCTCGTCTCTCTGTGATCCATCGGCCTACCGGAAGATTACCGGTGCACTGCAGTATCTCACCATCACACGTCCAGATATCGCGTATGCTGTCAACAATCTTTCTCAGCATATGCACGACCCCAAGGAGGAGCATTTCTATCTTCTCAAAAGATTGATTAGGTACATAAAAGGCTCTGTCACCTTCGGTCTTCCCATCCTCAAATCGGATCTCCGCCTCACTACCTACTCCGACGCCGATTGGGCGAGTGACCCCGTCACTCGCAAATCCACCTCCGGATACTGCACCTATCTCGGCTCAACTCTAGTGTCCTGGACGGTTAAGAAGCAAACGACCGTATCTCGGTCGTCTACTGAATCTGAGTATCGTGCCTTGGCTGCAGCTACCGCCGATACAATTTGGCTCAAACGACTCCTCTCCGATTTCGGCATATCACATGATACGCCAGTCGATCTTCACTGTGACAACACCTCGGCCATAGCTCTTGCAACGAATCCCGTTTTTCACGCGCGAACCAAACATATCGAAATCGATCATAGGTTCGTCCGCGAACACATCAACAACGGTCACATTCAGCTGCTTCCGATCAAAACAGAGGATCAAATTGCAGATGTTCTCACCAAGCCGTTTTCTACCCCACGGTTCAAAAATATGAGATCCAAACTCACGGTGACTCACGATCCATTCGTTTGAGGGGGCTATTAGCAACCTCTGTTATAGCGGCCTAAACTCTATTTGTAATTACAACCAATATCTAGCTTACACGTGTATCTAATTAGTGATATAATTGGACAAGCTAGCTAAGTTATATTAGTAGATATAAGTAGGACATTATAATTTGGTTTGAATAGGATTTGAACATGATTGTAACATTTAATATGATATTTAATGTGTTTTAGATTTTATATTTTAAGTTTTACTTTAAACATCATTTGAATAAGATTTGAAATTATGCATTCACAACTTATTCCTTTTTTAAAGTTAGAGTTCTCCTTAAATATCCTCCATCTTATACGCAACAACTATCAACGGTAAATGTACTTAAAATTCAAATAACGAAAAATATAATGCCATTAATCTTAAATAAAGCTAGCGAATGAATGGAGTTGAGTCAAGACAATGCTTGAGCTTGTTAACAAAGATTTAACATCAAGTCGAGATGGAGCTCGACTAGAATATTTAATTATTTATAGTAGTGTTAAAGCTTGGGTCATTTAAAATTATGGTTATTTAAGCGTGGTTCGAGCTCAGCTTAGCTATTAATCAAATGAGTCTTATTGAGTTTATTAGAAAACAATACTATCAATCAACTTGTAAGTTATCTGAGCAAGCCATATCGAGCCTACTAATGAGCAAAGAATTGAGCTTAAAAGTAAAAATCTAATTGAATGAAAAACTAATGAGCACAAATAAGTAGTTTATATTTATATATAACATAAATCAAATAGGGAAAAGAACTAAAACCACATATATCAACATTTTAAATAAATTTATAATTGAGTTTTAAATTAATATATAATTGAGCATTAATTAAGCTTCTTAACAAACTTAGCTTCATATTTAGCAGAGTGCTTAAATTATTTGATTAGAATCAAACAACCATAACGAACTATAATTGCATTGAGTTAATAATAACTCATCAAGTGTATTGATTTATTTGCATCTTTATCTAAAATAAAAGATAGTTTGAACACAAAAAGATTTCGAAGTAAATTTTTTTTGAAACGGTCGAAAGAGCGGCATTGGATTATTTTTGTTATTTGAATATTTGACTTTCTAGATTGAGAATTATATTTTATAGAATAGGTCAAAATATAATTTCATATATTTTATTAAATTAAAAACGGACATATTATGACTTTGAAGAGATATATAAAACTAATTTATCTTCTAAATTTTATCCATCAAAGTGATTAATCTAAGCAAAATCGAATTAGCCTTACTTGGTCCGATCCCGCTCCTAGCGGAGCCGGTCACCCGACATTTGCTTTACCGAGATCAGTCAAAAGCTCCTTACCTCATCATCACTCGCAATAATCCCTCTCCCGTAATAGCGCCTGAAACGGTCTGAAATCTTGCCTCCAATGTAGCCTCTTTATCGCTGGCCCGCGGCATGGAAACAACAAACCCATAAAGGCTCGATAGCAAATCAGCACACCGCTACATAGAGCGCCACACCGCTACCGTAATTGTAGGCGGCAAGCGGCGGTATCTGAAGCACGACTATCGTCGCGCAGCCGCGGCACGGCCCCGACAAAAGCCTCAGAGCTCAGAACCCCTAATCAAATATCTTTTCACTTTCGCTTTACTTCTCTTCCTACCCGCTTCTTTTTCGCGACACAGGGAAGTGAAAGCCGAGCTATAGAAAGCTAGGTTTAGGTGATCGCTGGTGGGGATGGGCAACTGCTGCCGCTCGCCGGCGGCGGTCGCCCGTGAGGACGTCAAGGCTGACTTTCATGACCGCAAGCAAGGAGGAGGGGGTGGCGCCGGAGGCAAGGTCCAAAACGGCGGCGCTGGCGGTGTGAAGCGGCTGACGGTGCTCACGGACGGGAGCTGGGACGCGAGATCGGGTGGGATCGAGGAGAAATACATGATTGACGGGGAGCTGGGGCGGGGGGAGTTTGGGGTAACCTATCTATGCATGAATCGGGACACGCGTGAGCTTCTGGCCTGCAAGTCCATCTCAAAGCGCAAGCTCCGGACCTCCGTCGACGTCGAGGATGTCCGTCGCGAGGTGGCCATCATGCGGCACTTGCCCAGGAACCCTAGTATTGTCAGCCTCAGGGAGGCCTGTGAGGACGACAATGCCGTGCATTTGGTCATGGAGTTGTGCGAGGGTGGGGAGCTCTTTGATAGGATCGTGGCGCGCGGGCACTACACAGAGAGGGCTGCGGCGGCGGTTACTAAAACGATTATGGAGGTCGTGCAGCTATGTCATCTGCACGGAGTCATCCATCGGGATCTTAAGCCGGAGAATTTCCTCTTTGCGAATAAGAAGGAGAACTCCCCACTAAAGGCCATCGATTTTGGGTTATCCATATTCTTCAAGCCCGGTAAGTCTTAATTTCTATTTTTGAAGGCTGAAATATTTGCTACTGTACTTTTTTAGGTGACATTTCTATCCAAAGGCCGTTTAACGGGATTTCTTGCTAATAATAGCCATTTGCATTTGAATCTTGGATGTTTTCTGATTCAATGTTCTTTTTAATAACTAGTTTTCTGTAGCTGGAGTCGTTACTCAAGGTACATGCTCCTTTTCTTGGGGAATTGAATATGCTGCACAGCTGCAGACATGGAAATTTGCACTAATTGCTTATTTGATGTTTGTGAAAAAAAATTACATTGTCCGGATGTTTTCATTCGCTGAATAGTATTTGATATGAACTTTTTTTTTGGGAAAAAAAAATTGATATAAACTTTCTGCTACTATCTCAATGGAGGCAGTCCCAAAAAACGAGAGTAAAAGAAGATAAACTATGTTTATAAGGTGAAAAGAAAGTGAAAGATCATTTACTTCTATCACAATGTAGCAAATAGCATGATATGTAGCATGCTAAATAATAAAAATAGAAAGATGCTTTTGGTTTATGCAATATTCATAACATGTTAAAACGTGTTCTCTCCTTGAAATAGAGTTACATGTAGAAAGAAAAGCTCTAAATATAGTAAGCTCCAAAGATGATAATTGAACTTTATATCAAGGCTTGCTGGCAGTCCGATTCTAATTTGTGGGGCTGCTGATGTCTTATTTACAAGAAAATGAAAAACTTTAACATACAATGTAGCAACCTAGTTGCTCATGGAGACCTGATATCTCTGGTTTGGTCTGTTTGGATTTATGCAATATAGTGTCAATTAGTGAGAGTCACCTTAGATGGTTTGGTCATATAAAACGGCGGCCTTCCGATGGCCCGGTTAGAAAAATAGAGATATTAGATTTGACTTATGTTAATAAAGGTAGAGGTATACCTAAAAAGACTTGGTTATAAAATATTAGAAATAATCTTTCTTTATTACATTTAAACAAGAATTTGACTTTTAACAGGACATAATGGAGAGAAGGATTCATGTAGCCGACCCCACATAGTGGGACAAAGGCTTCTTGTTGTTGTTGTTGTTGTTGTTGTTGTGTCAACTATTTCTTATTTCTCTACTAATATTACTCCTACATGAAGAGCAAAGCTGCACTCCATTTTTTATTTATGATGCAGAAAAACTTTTTTTAAACATTTCATTTTTCCATTTCTAGAAGTACCAGGATTTTGGTCTAGGTCACACCAATATGGAAATATAGTATTCAGATGCTATTGTGAACTGCTTACTAAGGTATTTCTCACACATGTTTTTGACACTTAAGTTGTCTCATGTTATGTCTGTCTTTAATGACTGAAATCCACAGAATCCACCTCTTACAATATCAAATTAAATAAAAGTGAAGTAATAGTCGAAATAATACACCTTAAAATTTAAATAGTAAAAAACTGCAAACTTTTATCTATATGTTGGTACTCAACATTAGCTTCCTACGTGCAGGCAGCAGCTGCTTAATGTGTTGCATTTCTAGCATAGTTATCTCACCAACTTCCTTTCTGATGTATTATAGATTTGTTAAGTCAATTGAATCAAACTAAATTATAGGTAGAATCAAATTTAGGGCGGTAATAATATTTTGTTTTTTTAAAATTAAGTTAGAGAACATTTCAATTATTTTGTTTGACTTCATTTTTGTTTTTAAAACTGAATCAATAACCAAATTCCAATAATGCTTATTCTGAAATAAAAATCAAACTATCATTAAACAAACCAAATCAAATCAACCAAATATGCTCGTTTTGGTTCTATTTTTTGGCTTAAATTAGCTAATGTGCACCCATACTAGCCGACCCACTGTGACTACCTTTTGTGTTACCATTAAATCTATTCTTACACCTCAATTTGATTTGACTGCATTGTTTCTTTCCATTGCTGTGTTTTATCTTCCTTTGATTTATTTTGTTATTAGAGTTTTATTAGGCGTTGTTGACTTTGGCTGTGCTGTTGACTTCGTTGTCTCTCTCTCTCTCTCTGATGTAGATGGAAGGTGTGCTTAACATGAAAATTATGATGTAAAATAAGGACACAACATACATTTGAATTTTCATGGTGAAAATCTTATCTTATTCGGCAAAGAATTGATATTCTGTTTGACAAGATTTTTGAGGTACCATGCAAATAGAGTCGTCATCATCATTAGTTGATCTTTGAAGCGCAAACATAGAATAAATCTAATGATACATTTATGGAAAAAATGCATTTATCAACACTTCATGAAAAGTTTTATATTTTGAAAATTATTATGTTGTCGCCACCATCATATAAGAAGTTAATAACCATCATGATTTTCACTTAATTTGAAAATAATTAACTTGGATTTCATTATGCAAAAATGAAAAGAAATGCTTTTTCAATGAAAAGACTGTGCCATTAACATCTTTAATTTAGAGTAGAGCAATTAAGAAAAAATTGATCATCAAAGAAATAATATTATGGAACTACTTTTCTTCCGCATGAGTGTAACAAAATTTACATTTAAGAAGCATCGTGGATGCCCGTCTGTCTCTGTCCACCTACTATTAGGGTTTCAATGCAAGGAAAACATTTTTGGATGCTTTCTAATAAATGATATCTTCAATTAAGCAATGTAACAATTAAATATACGATCAAATCATTATGGCAAGTATACATTTATCAACAATTTGTGAAAAGTTTCATATTTTGAAAATTATTATGTTGTCGCCATCATCATCAAAGAAGTTACTAACCTTAATGATTTTCATTTAAATTTGAAAATAAGTCAACTTAGATTTCACCATGCAAATATGAAAATAAATACTATTTTTTATAAAAAAATGTGCCATCAACATTTTTAATTAAGAGTAGAGCAATTATGAAAAAAATGATCATCAAAGAAATAATATTATGGAACTACTCTCCTTCAGTATGAGTATAACATAATTGTACATATTAAGAAGCATAGCGGACTTGTCAGTCTCTATCCACCTTCCATTAAGGCTTTAATTCAAGAAAGACATTTTTGGACGCTTTCTAATCAATGATCTCTTCAATTAGACAATGTAACAATTAAATATGCAATAAAACCATGAAGATTTTGAGCATTCCTTTTTGAAATCATGAAGATTTTGAGTATTCCTTTTTTTGTGAAATTATGTAATAATGCATACTTTAATGTTAATAAATATGAAGTTAGTTTTATAAGAATATCATGTTTGATTGAACCATGCAAGTTGTTACTTTTATGCCATGGAAGTTGAAGTTTGGTGACTCCTATTAGGATTATTTAATGAGTTTTCTTGAAATATTATTTATATATCTTTTTATGATATTATTCTTCATTCTCTCTTTACTTTTGTCATATTCCATTATTCATGTCATAGGTAGCCCACCTTCAATTTATCATCTCTGTGTGTCTATATATATATATATATATAGCTTGTAATATTTTATAAAATTGTAATATTTTAATTATGGAAGTTAGCAATTAAAAAACCAAACTCAAAACATGTTTATAATGTGCCCTTTGCATACTCTACATGCTCCTGTTTATAAACTAAGAGTGTAGCTGATTTAAAAAAATTATACAATATAATAAAATATTAAAATAATCTTTCATATGTAGCCACTGATTGTAAAATCTAACTATAACCATTTATTTTTTGTGTCAATATGTCATAAAAAAAGTTTTAAAAATTGGACTGTGTTGGTTGTTCGAATTAGTTCAATCAGGAACTAGTTTGCTGGCCGGTTTGGTAAATTCCTAGAATCGGTTTTGTAATGAATCGGTCTGAAGATCGGTTAAATGGCGAATCGGTGCCATAATTAAAAACTTGCTAATTTATTTTATTAAATCATTTATAGAATTAAATAAATTAATTTAATATAAAATATTTAACTTAATGAATAAATGTAAATTTAATATATTTTAAATTTAAAATAAACATTAAATTTTATAATAATTACTTGCAAAAATGCATCAAATTACATTTAATTTATAATTTATAGGTGAACTAATTTTATGTTAAATGTGAATTAAATTTAAAATTGAATATATTTAAATTTAAAATTGTATAATATGTTATTTGCATATGAATTCTATTTATTTTTTTAGCAATAAATTTACATGATTGCAGAATTATTATGTCATTATTATGCCATTTTGATATCAATTAAATAATTTAAATATTTATTACATCATTCGATTTAACCTAAGTCAAACCATTGAACTTTGAACCTTTCCTTTTGGTTCTATGTCCGTTTCAGTTATGTCCGATTCAATTTTCACAATTTTGATTAAAGATGGTCATTATTGTTTACGTTTTTAGAGCCCTTATCTAAAGATGGGATGTGGGTTCGCTGTTTTATTAAAGGTATTCGATTCACTTTACATATTGTTTGTTGTTGTTGTTGGAGTTATGGGTCCTTAGAGTTGTATCTGGCTTGTATTGCGATCAATGGTCATCTAGGGATTCATTCTACATAGAGGATGTTTTTGATAGACCGACTGAATTTGATTAAGAGGGAATTAAGAAATTTCCTAAGCAAGAGGGAGTTTTTTGGAAGGTTCTTAATCAAAATGAATTAATTAGGAAATGTTTCCTAATTGAAGAGGACATATTTAGAGACTGATTTGGGGGCTAATTTGGGGGGGGGGGGATAAATTAGGAAATGTTTCTTGATTGAAGAGGGCAGATTTATGGGATGATTTGAGAGCTGATTTGGGAGGAAAATAATTAAGTAAATAATTAAATAAGAAGAGAGGATTAGGGTTAGGGGTATGCAAATTATTGGGATGTTTTTGTTCTTGGGTTTTGCGTCTTGGGCTCTAGCGGCGTTTAGAGATTGGGAGAGATCGATCCTCCTCTCGAATTGAGGATCAATTATTTCTTGCTTTTATTTCTTCTGTTAGTTTGATTTCTTCAATAAAAATTACTGTTTTGCTTGTTTTCAATTGGATTTGTGGAGTTTTCCCTCTGTTTTTGTTAATATTGTTAGGGAT